TAAGATGTTTATCTTTTTCCCTTTTGCCCAGTTGAGAGCTTGTATTAAGGTCCAGGTTCAGCTGTTGAGCAGACCAGTTTGGGGAAAGAGGCCTGGTTAGGAGCAGCTCTTCTGTAGTAACAACTGCGCGGCTGGCCTGGCGTTTTCCAGCCCTAACTGAGCTGTTTCCATCCACAAGCGGGTGTACTCAGTGTTAGGCAGGGGTTCCATCTGCAGGTCTGGCCGACTAGCGGGAGTCACATCAGGTAAGAGGGACAGTCATGGCCTGGGGGCCAAGCTCAGTGGGCAGGAGGGTGGCTGGGTCCAGGGGTTTGACCAGTTGGAAGGTAAGTCGGGGATTTCCAACAGGCCATCCCTAGAACTGGGTGACGCGGCTGTTCAAGAGCTGGCGGTGTCCCCACCTGTCCAGCAGTTCTAGAACAGCATGTGGAACCTGTTTTTGGAGGGGGGCCTGGACTGTTGGGTTTTTTTTTGTTGTTGTTGTTTTGTTTTTTGGTTTTTCTCCGGTACCGGGAACCGAACTCACGACCGGACTGTTGGGTTTTTGTCTCAGAGTCGGTTTGTCACCTCTCTGCCCAAGAGGACAGCAGCTGCCAGTGCTCTGGGGCAAGGAAGCCAGCCTTCTGCCGCAGGGTCCGGGTTCTTTGATAAACGAGCGATGAGTTTTCCCAGGGGCCGACTTCCCAAGTGAGGAACGTGAGCAGCGTGTCCCCTTTCATCCGCGAGCAGAATGAATGTTCTGGTCGCGTGAGGAGTGCCCAGTGCCGGCAGCTGAGAGTCGTCTTGATGGTCTGGAAGGCCTGAGCCTGTTCCGCAGTCCGTGTTACTAGTTCTCTTTCATTCTCGTTTCCTGTCGGCATGTCATATAGAGGCTTAGCTTTTTCAGCAAACCCCAGTGTCCACATTGAACAGAAGCCTGCAGCGCCCTGGAATTCTCTAAGCTGTGGTTGTTTTGAGGCCTGGAAATGGAACAGATAAATTCTTTGCACTCAGGGGCAAGGTGCCTGAGGCTTTCTCCAAGTCAAGCCCCCAAAGTGCCTTTCTGTTCGCATACTGTGCCTTTCTGCGAGACTGCAGCGTATGCTCAGCAGGGGCCGGAGGAGGGCCTGTGCTCCCGGTCAGGGTGTCATTGGCGTGCTGTGTGAGGGTACAGTTGAGGTCGGCGTGGACTAAGTCAGCAGCCGGTGCTTCCCCAAAAAGTGTGAAGGAATTTCTGAAACCTTGCAGTAAACGAATCCAGGTTAGTTGGCCTTTCTGTCCCATCTCGGGGTCCTCCTATTCAAAAGACTGGGAGGGGCAACCCGCAAGTGGAAGAAAGCATCTTCTAAGTCCAGACGGGAGAGTGTGGGGTTGGGGACTGCCGAGTGCAGAGCTGTGGGGGCTGAGGTGGTGGCTCGCAGGTGCTGCGCCGGCCAGTAGTGTCCATTGGGCTTTCTCACCGAGGAGGGGAGCGTCCCGAGGCGATCTGCAGTCTGCCAGGGTCCCGGACTACTGCTTTAGGCCAGAGACGTGGGGCTGGATGCCGAGTCGGGCTTCTCTTGAGGTGGGGTGCTGTTCAGCAGCAGCAGGGATCGCAGCTGGACGGAGGTTGGAGGTCGGTCACGGGGGGGTGATTGACTGCAGGCCCCAGAGGCGAGCCCCTGCCCATGCTCCCGGAAACAAGTCTCAGAACGTCAGGCACTTCAGGCTGATGCAGGCATTCTTCTCGGGGTACCTCAGTCAGTGTCACATCTGGAGCAGTGGGCCCAAGCGTGAGGGAAGCTGGCTGGTCTGGAGCGAAAGATGGTTGCTCACAGTATTAAACAGGGTCCAAAGGAGCTGCTGATGGTCATCCCGTGTCGGCAGGTGGGTCTGGAAGGTGTAAGGAGGTCAGTCACTGCTTGAGGCTTCTCAGCGTAGGACAGGTTACGGTGCTTCCAGTTCAATCTACAAGGCTGATGATACATCAGGGGCAGTTGGGTGGCTGCGCCTCCCTGGGCTCGGGTGGACACGAAGTGGCCGCTGGAGATGAACTGGAGGTCCGAGCTGACTAGCAGAACAAAGGCGGTGGTTGACAGGGCAGTCACTGTCTGATAAGGAGTCGGTGTGGGGTTCAGGAGGCGCTGCATGGTTGTTGGCAGTGGAGTCGTGGAGTCTGGGATAGCGGCCTGAGGCTCCGGGTGGGTCTGAGGGGGCAGATGCAGGCCTCTGGACAGTGGTAGAAATTCCAGAGCAGAGCAGCGTGGGTCTAGTGGAGTCAGGAGTAACTGATGGAGTCGAGAGACCACTAGAGGGCGCAGCTGGAGCGGGCGAAAAAGGATGTGGGATCAGAGACGCGCAGTGACCTCCGCAGCGCTCTGCATGGGGCGTGCTGTGGCAGCGACGGTGCTGGCGGTGATGGCAGTGGCTGCAACACGGCAGAGTCTGGGAGGGCAGGACAGACACACGCGTGAACAACAGCGGCCGCAGTGCTCGGATCAGCAGTGGGGACGCAGAGGAATCTGGAGGAGGGCCCCCGCCCCAGGAAGGCTGCAGCAGCCACTCTTGGGTGAGCAGGCACGCTGAGGCCTGCCGAGCAGCTTGGGGCCCCCAGCTGTAAGGAGGGGGCAGGATGGACTTGGGGTCTTCAGGTAGGACAGGACAAAGCTGCCCTGGTTTGGGGCAGGCCTGAGAGGGTTCAGGAGGTCTCTGGGGTTTGTTTATGACCAGGATGTGCCTTTTGTCATGCGGAGCACAAGCAGAGAGCCAAGGCACAGGCTAAGCCAGTAGGGGAGCTGGTCGGGGTGGCCATCTCGGGGCCTGTTGGACATCTTGACATCGAGACTTCTTCAGGCACAGGTTCGGCCCGTCAGTCTCACAAAAGGTCTGGAGTTTCCAGGGTTTCGTTTTTATTCTGTAGTCACCAGGGAATCTTTTTGCAAAGTTTTTCAGCATTGCAGTCTAGGATTACAGGTTTGCTGTGGCTTGTACCCATTCTGTTACCCGATGGGGTGTGTGCTGTACCTTTGAACGGTGCCGCAGCAGACAAGGGTGGGTGTCCCTCCAATGGGAAGCCAAACGCTCATTGGCTCGGGCTGCTCCCCTCTCGGAGATGCAAGTGCATCCGGGCAGGCAGGAGGTATAAACCCCATACCAGGTCCCACACCCATTACGGAGGCTGATTTGCCTTTTGCCACTTAGATGAGACTACGGAAATACAGAAACCCGACCCAGTCGAGCTCCACAGTTCTAAGGTCCCAGAAGGGTCTTGTACCATGGAGCACAGACAGGACGGCCTACTGCTTTCATCATCCGGTAGAGACACTCACACAGTCATTCAGCAGGCACTCAGAGATTAAACATTCCTCTTCCCTCGAGGGTGGCCTTAACTAACTAATGAGAGGTGATCAGACTCTCCTTCTGCCCAGAACTGGGCAGGGTGGACTGACAGACAGACTGACTGGGGCACTTTCTCAGAGTGCCTTATCTGAAGACTCAACTCAGCTGCATCTTCCCCCCTTTTGGGTCTGACAGGGGCCTTTGGCGCCAAGCAGGGGCCTCTGGTCCGGTCCAGCCTTCCAAGGGGACTCCCAGAAGGGCCGGAGGGGGTGCCTTCCTGCCAAGGATCCAGAAGAGGTCCCTGCTTTGCCCACCAGGCTTCGGCCAATGACCTAAGCGGTCAGCATGGTCTTCCTAGCCAGGGAACCAAGAAATGTTACAGAAAACAAACCAAACACAGGAGGAAACAGTACCCAGGAGGCTTAAGAGGCAGTTTATTACACCGGTGGGCTTCTGACTAGGGTCCCTCCCAAAGAGCCAGAGCCCCACCAAGCAGGGGGCTGGGCTTTTATTAAAGGGAAAGTGAGCAGGGAAGGTACAAAGGCAGATTTGGTACATATGATGACATCATGGGCTGCTGAAGGAGTTTGAAAACCTGAAGTTTACATTACAAGGCCAGCAGTACACAGGGCAGCAAAAATGGGTTACACAAAGCAGTGTTCTGTTATCAGGCTTGCCTGGACTTGTCCACAGGTTTTGGTGGGCATTTTTGCTGGGCTTTCTAGACAGGCTTTTATTTAAAATTTTAATTTTCCTTTCAGTCCTTGCTGTGTGATTCTAGCTTTTGGGGACTATTGGTTTTGATTTGCATCTTTGTGGGTTTTGTGAGTGAGAATTTACTGAGAACAGAATCTAGGACCTTTTCCCTGAGCTACACCTTCTGCCCTTTGTTATTTTGTCATTTGGAAATAGGGTTGCACTTCAGTCTCCCAGGCTGGCCCTGAACTTGCAATCTTCCTGCCTCAGCCTCCCAAGTATTGAGATTACAGGCGTGCACCCCGCAGCCAACTTCGATGTGATGATGGACCCCTCTCCTGAGCGCTAGCTCTGGGAATCCAGCTCCTCCCCTCCCCGCATCTCTGTAGAGGCCCCGGACACTCGGCCGATAGCACAAGCCTAGCGGAGCCTCTCAGGCTGAGCCCTCCGGCTCTGCAGAAGCCGTGGGCCCGCCGCCATCTGCGTCACTGACCAAGCAGAGCTCGGGGCCAGAGTCCCCACGTGCCCGTCCTGCCCCCGCGGTGCAGTGCAGCCAGCCGGGCGTCACTGCGCTGTGCTTTCCCTGCACTTGGGGGTCACTCCGTGGGCAGCTTCCTGGCACGCGCTTGTAATCCCAGCACTCTGAGAGGCCGAGGCAGGAGGATTAGAAGTTTGAGCCCACCTGGGCAGTTGAGCAACCTAGCAAAACCCTGCCTCAGAATTTAAAATTTAAAATACAAAGGACTGGGGCTGCCGCTCAGGGCCAATCCTTGGGTCCGTCTCCCGGTACCACGAACAGTAAGGCCGGCTTTGCCCGTCCACACCTCTGCTCACTCACTGGGCCTGTCAGGACAGCCTGCTCTGCGCTGTCGCCCCTCCTCCACAGACAGCCACCCGCCGCCTCTTCCCCAGGCAAAGGCTGCGTGTGGCCAGGGCCGGGCATTCCCAGAGGCTGCGGCCTGGGCGCCCTCGCCCGCGCGGGCCTGCCCACTATCCCATGTCCGCAGGTGCACAAGCTGCTGATCGTGGTCGAGCTGCTGCTGGGCGAGATCCCCGACCGCCTGCAGTTCCGCCAGCCCTCGCTCAAGCGCTCGCTCATGCCCTACTTCCTGCTCACGCAAGGTAAGGCTGCCCGCTGCCCCCGGGCCCAGCCGCTGCCTGTGCCCGCCTCGATGCCCTCCCCTCTCCCGTCCCGCAGCCGTCAGGACGGGGAATCTGGCCAAGTTCAACCAGGTCCTGGATCAGTTTGGGGAGAAGTTTCAGGCTGACGGGACCTACACGCTGATCATCCGGCTGCGGCACAACGTGATTAAGACAGGTGTGCGCCCGCGCCCGGCCCGGCCCTCGGGACATGGGTGGGGAGCCCCGTGCCCACCGCCCGCTGCCCGCAGGTGTGCGCATGATCAGCCTGTCCTACTCGCGCATCTCGCTGGCGGACATCGCGCAGAAGCTGCAGCTCGACAGCCCCGAGGACGCCGAGTTCATTGTTGCCAAGGTGGGCTGGGCGGGGGCCAGGGCCGGGGGCAGCGGAGAGGGGCGGGGCGGAGGGTGTGGGAAGGCGGCGCCACAGTCGTCCCGGACACGGTGAGTGCCGTGCAGCCGGGAGGTCACCCGCGAGTGGTCACGAGGGAGCGCGGGGAGCACGCGGGGCGCCCCTGACCGCTGCCCCGGGGCCGCAGGCCATCCGCGACGGCGTCATCGAAGCCAGCATCAACCACGAGAAGGGCTACGTGCAGTCCAAGGAGATGACGGACATCTACTCCACGCGGGAGCCGCAGCTGGCCTTCCACCAGCGCATCTCCTTCTGCCTGGACATCCACAACATGTCGGTCAAGGTGCGGCCGCCGCCCCGTCCCGTCCCCGGCCTGGGCCTCGCCCTCCGTCCGCGGGCGCGCGCTCAGTGCCCCTCTCCGCTGTCCCCAGGCCATGCGGTTCCCGCCCAAATCCTACAACAAGGACCTGGAGTCGGCGGAGGTGAGTGGCGCGGCCCCCGCGGGGTGGGACGGGGGACGCGGGACGGAGGACGCAGCCCACACCGCCCTCTGCCCAGGAGCGGCGCGAGCGGGAGCAGCAGGACCTGGAGTTCGCCAAGGAGATGGCGGAGGATGACGACGACAGCTTCCCCTGAGCGGGCGGGCGGCCTCGCCCCTCGGCCCTGCGCGGCGCCCACGGCGCGGTTCG